ATTGCTTCTTTTATTTCAGTTATATTATTATTAGAGTTTGTTATATTTTTTATTGTTTTCCATAATTTTTGAGAGTTATTTTTATTTGATTCTCTCTGTGCTTTCTGATAATTAAGTTTAGTAACTTGAATAAGGCGGTTTAGAGAATTTCTGTAATTAATAAATTGGTCTTTTAACACTTTGTTTTCTATGTCTTTTTGATATGCTTTATATAATTTATCCCTTGTGATTATTGATTTCATGAGACCTACCGTAATCCACGCTTTCTTTTTAATTAATGACCTTTTTTGTTTAAGTATAGTTTTATTTTTAGAAATAAGGGTGTTAAGAGTATTAAGAAAGTAAATTGTTGCTTCTTGTACATCTGTTATACCGTATAATGCATTTCAATTATAAGAAGTTAAATCATCTTTGAGATTATTCTTATTTAATTTATTGATAAATTTAATTTTATTCACAGGTTCCTTATTATTAAATATATTTATGTTTAAAATTGTAGCTCTATGATCAGTAACAAGGGTATCTAGAACATAGCTAGAACAACAATCTTCGACTTGTCCATTTTTTATATTTACAAACATGTGATCTATGCAAGTTTTCAATAAACCTTGTATCCTAGTAGGAACATTTATGGTTGAAGTAAAACTAAACTCACTTAAAATATCTAAATACTCATTTGAATAAACTTCATCGTCTCGAAGTATATCAATATTTATATCACCCGCAATAACATGCATATCACAATTCTTTTTAGATTCACTTAAGTAGTGGTGCAGTTCAGTTATGAATTCCCTTTCATTAATTGAGGGAGGCCTGTAAAGTGATGTTATTTTAAAAGGTTTATTTTCTTTAGTTACTATTATTTCCAAAGCTTTGCAATGATATATTTCTACTATTTTATAATTATAATTATACGACTTTTTCAAATACACAACCGTGCCATCACATTTATTTATGTCAGCAAAATTGATTTACCTAATTATTTTGTTTGGTGATATTAAATTATTATAAATAAAATGTAGTGTATTCGCAAAAGATTTTGATGAATGTCTTAAATACAGTCTTGCCCCAAGGTTTTTCTAAATAGTCGTTCAGCAATGTCTTTATTATTTCCAAATTTTTCAAAATAAATTTTTTTCTTGAGTTCCAGCATTCTCTTTAAAGATTTGATGACTTTCCTTTGTCTCCATAAACGGTTTGCTGTTATTTTCTTAATTTAATAGTCTCGAATTAATTCTGCAATTCCAAGTTTTGAATTCGTCTTTTGAGCTTCGTTTCACGACGGCAATCAGGAGGGTTCTCTTCTGACTCTATGTACAACTTTTTTGATATAAAGAAGTTCTAGGAAGAACTAAAGATTGTTCAAAACAGAAAAAAGTAAACATGGATACCTTCTTATCTGAATTTTCACTAGAGTTTAGTATGACCACCCCGAACAATATCAAATACAATTCATCATAAAATGTTAATACGCAAACCCAAAGGGATTAACCAATAATTATATACCTCAGTGACGGATAACACGAAATTATTTTAAAGTAAAAAATAGTAAACTGTCAATATTAAGTACCCACATTAATTTTTATAAAAATAGTATACTAGATATTAGGTTAGGACATTTCCTTCAAATTTTAATAAATATACACAACCAAATTTATATGCAAAAAATGTTTTATCATAAAATACTCATCTCGTTTTAAGAAATACAGGGCGATTCCATATAAATTCATTTTTTGTATTTCGGGTACTTGCGTCTTATAAAATTATTATAATTAATATAGATATAGAGTTACATACCTAAATAAATAAGTCGTTTTCTTCCGATAAGGAGTCATAATCGTCAGTTTCCTTACTTCCCACAGACATAACAATGGTAGTAAAATAAAACAATTTGTTTTTTTTTTTTCGTACTGCAATATGCAACTTGAAATACCCAGCTTCTGTAGTGTATATGTTTTGTTTCTCGTTTTTGTTTACTTTAATATAATTTTTTATTTAAGGATTAAGGTTTACGTTTTGATTTAACGATATTTCTTGTTAAATATCATATTAGTAAGAATTTAATAAAATATTTTTGTTTAAAAAAATTATGTTTTAAAATATAATGACGGAATATTATGCCGGCCCGCACAAAGGCGACAGTGGAGCTAAGAACGACCCTGATTGTTTATGATAGGACTGTTCCAACAACGGTCCTCTGAAACCAGTCATTGACTCCAGGATTCTATGCAGTAGATTATTTACACCGCCACATTAATTCTTCGCAAAATCCTGGTTTCTGATCATTGTTGGAACAGACCTGATATTAGTTATGATATTTAAGATATTTTGTGTAATATTGTTCCAGTTGTTTACGATATCGTTTATGATCCAGTTTATGATATTATGTATGATATTGTTTACAATATTGTTTAAGTAACTGTTTATGATATTATTTATGATTTTGTTTACAATAATTTTTATGATATTGTTTATGGCATAGTTTTTGATATTGTTTTTTAAATTGTATACGATATTGTTTGTGATATTGTTTACGATATTGTTTACGATGTGGTTTACGATATTGTTTATGATATTGTTTAAAATATTGTTTATGACATAGTTTCTGATATTGTTTAAGGGAATATTTATTATATTGTTTTTCCTGAATGCAATAAAAATTAAAGACGAACAATTTACTTGAAACAGTTGAACATCAAACCATTGATTTTGTCTAAATTTGTTGTAATTTTCTTTTACTTCACAATTATTATTTTGAGATATAATATTTAGCTAAGTCTATTTTCTCAGTGTATTAATGGAATATATTTATTACACCGGATAGGTACATTTGTCTGAAATATTAATTAAAGTTATGTGTCTAAATATTACACGAAATCAACTCAGCAATAAAACCATATTTGGCAGTATAATTATTGTAACTACCGTACTTCTCATCCCCTTTCGATGATGGGATAATATTAAGTATTGGAACTTTTGGGATTGATTCTAACTCAGTTTAAATTAGGAATTCGCAAACAGATGCGACCAGAACAGGGACGCGAAGTATTAACCTAAAATTACATTAAATTATCATTCTGTCGGTTTCAAATGAAGATTAATGCGGAAAGTATATACCTGCCGTCTAATGCGTGTAAAAAATATTGTTGAGAATTTTTGAAAATGGAATAAATAATGATACAATAATTGGTAATCATTTTAACACTTATAACAACTAAATGCATTTCTGGAACCAATTTAAAATAAAAAGTAAGTGTATTTTTGTTTCTTTATTTATTTGCTTAAAAAAATTAAGAATATATATAGTATATAGGTTGTTGGAATCAATTTCCAATGAAAAATGTCTTTATTTACTATGGTTGGATAGATAAATTTATGAGGAATTTTATGTTTAAATAATATACAAGGTGTTCCATTTGAAAAAACTAAGTAAATTGATCCTAAAATTAGCCACAATTTCAAGACATAAACCAGTTCCATCACCACTATTCGTTAGTTTTGCAGCTTATAGGTCTTTATTTAAAATCATTGCTAGCCTACCTAAATTATGATAATTCAGTCTAGGGTTTGCATTATTCTAAAATTTACCAAAATAATTAATTGCTTGACAAACCTGTAATATTTAAAAAATATATTTTAGCATTGAATTCAGTATTACTAGACTATTGTAAAACTGAAATATAATACAGTGTGTTCCATTTAAAAAATATAGTAAGTTTGGGTAAGTGCATACAGAAATTTGACTAGTTCAATTTTAAGGTGATGCCACTTCTGCAGGTAAAGTTTGAATTAAGATCTGTAACAACAGTGCAGTAGGTACATTTAAGCTGTAAAGATCTCGATAAAATAAAGTGTACAAAATGTGAAGGCGCATTTTTTTTTATTTTTATGACCAGGGGCAGCACTTACCCATCATAATGAAATATATTTAGTTTCGGGTAAGTGCAATTTTCTACTGAAAACAACCTATTAAATGCTTCTTGTAGATTGAAAATATCTTTATTGATACAAAATTATAAGCATACATATAAGTTGTAACATAACTTACTATTGAACAGAATAACCCGCAAACGACATTTAAAAAGCAATTTGGCCATGTTTACATATTTTAGGTTGAGGAAGTAACTTAATAATATCATTTATTTGGATATAGAGCCGACATTATCAACAGAGGGAAACGAAAAATTCGATTTTTCTTTCAAAACAGTTTTTTTGTGAACTTCATCAGGTGCAGTGTCAGGGTCGTTAGTCAAAACTTGACCAACAAAATATTTAACAATTTTTTTCCTGGAAATTTAATGAACGCCCATGCTGAAGTTTACCTCCGAATATCCTGAAATTCTGTATGTTTCTCTTTCATTTGTTCTACAATTTGTCCTAAAGATTCATCGGACTCTTCTTCTCACATATCAAATTCGTCACAGTCTTCACTCAATTGCCGCGTTTGAGAATCCACATCGGATGCATTTTTTACATCTCGAGCGTTTTTTTATCCACATCGGACACATCTATCCCATTAAATTTACCTATACTGAATCACGTGATCAAAGATTTACTACATCTCAGATGCATCCGATGTGGATTCTCAACGCGGCATATGACTCTTCAAAAATTTTTGGCTGCAAGTTTTTCTTTGGTACTTTGCTTTTTAGCTGTTTGTCTTTGTTTTCGGCTTTAGACTTTTTAGTTTTTTATTTACTGCCTTACTTTTGTTTGCTGTAATATCCTCCATTTCTTGAAGTCGTTCTTGTTATTACTTCCGCACCAGTTGCAATTCGTTTTTGGGGTTTGGCTTGATTCTTACTATTTTTATTTTGTTTCAATGTTGACAAAAGTATTTCTTCAAATGAAATAGCAATGGAATCGGTGCTTTCTACTACTGGTACTGGATTGTACAATTGCATCACCATTCATCTCAACAATATGATTATTACTAGTACTGGAACTGGACTCGATATTACTTGCACTACTACTTGTGGAGACAACATTCACGTTTTCAGCTTTACTTGATGACTCTGCCGTTATATGCATGTTATTCTGACTGTGGCTTTCCAATCTCTTATAAGCTGGTTGATCAAATTTATCTTTGGAAATAACCTTATTATTATTATTATTGTTATTATTAAAGCAAGTCGAAGTATTTTTTAATAAAAAATGGGTCTTCCTTCTGGCTACTTCGATGTTCTGAGATTGAAGTTTCGGAATCTGTCTTCACCCAAAATTTCATTTTTAAACCGTGATTTCAAACCAGTTGTTGTAACAAACTCTCCAACAAGCCTTAAATTTCTTGTCTTGATAGATCCAAACCCCATTTTCCCATAGTTTTTATACTTTCTGTAATGATCGTTTGTTCTATTGGAATATCTGTCATTCTTCCTAAACTTTGACTTTTAACCCATCTTCTACCTGTCTTATGACCGGCTAATGTTGATTTAGGAATATTATATAGCACACTAGCTCTCTTAATACTGATTCCATTGCTGCGAATTGCCTCCAAAGCAGCATTTAAATCATCTGGAGTATAGCTGTTTGCCTTTTGGGTTTCTCTTTTATACTGTCTGGGCATAATTACCTATAATAAACAATATATTATTTATCTATTTATTTATTATAAATGTAAATGGGGTAAGTGCAGACCCTAGCATACGCACTTATTCTTGTTTGTGTAGGGTAAAGGGAGGAGAGATGGACCACTATTTAAAAATGGTAAAGCTAATTTCTTTATTATTGAAAATAAAAATCTGAATTTTTTTACACAAAATAACTAAACTTTGGCATTCCTTTTGAAATAAATAGAAATAAAATTAAAATGCATAATATTTACAGACCTGTCAACGGTCCATCTATCCTACCGTGTAAAGTTGAGATGGACCATACTGGGTAGGAGAGATGCAACATTTTATTTTTCTTTTTACAAGCTATATCGATGCCACACTTCTGGCAAAGGTTACAAAACTTGTGCAGTTCTCATGCAACCAAAAATGCATTGTAACCATTCTTTTTTGGTAATCGGTAGTCTTCACTGCAGCCTGCACACTCATTTTCTAGGTCCTTAAAAGTTTCATCCACACTCGAGCAATCATTTAGTGCAAAATCGTCTGCTTCATCATCAGAAGATGAAGGTGCCTTCGACTGATTTTTTCTTTATTTTTCTTGATTTGTTCTTGATTTTTCTTGATTTTTTCTTGATTATTTTTTGATTGTTTTTGATTTTTTCTTGATTTATTTTTTACCACTTTCGTTGCCGGATTAGGACCAGCCTTTTTCTTGCACTGTACCTCTTTTTTCCCTTTAATACATTCTGGTGAGGTAATATCTCCAGATATTTTTTTTTCGAACTCTTTTTAGAGCGGCAGTTACGACGGGTACAGGGTAAACTTCATCAAGTGCTTTTCGGGGAGTAATGTCTTCAGTAGCTGTTGATTTGTTAGGGGTGATGTTTTCTTGGTTTTGAGTACCTGAAGAAACTGGTTGGGGAGATTCAGGTGTTCTCTGAACTAGTTCATTCTGCAATGGATTTTCTGTAGAGGGATCAGGATTTACGGCCAAAATTGCATAGTCGGGTATGACCAAGGGATTAAAAGGTAGTATTTCCGTTGACCTAAATGGTGAAATTGTATTCTGGGCTGTGGCTGATTTCCCTCAAGCTTCACCGAGTATCTTTCCAAACTGCAATCGGGTTATTTCTTAACATGTGTCTGCAAGCATCATAATAGTTTTCCTTTAGAGATTTGAAAAAAGCCCTATTTAGTGGCTGTAAGCTGTAGGTAGTGTGTGAGCAAACAAAATTACATCATTTTTCTAGTAATTCAAGGTTGGTAGTATGCGATGTATGTCCGTCTAATATTAGCACTGCCTTACCATGGGTTTTCTTGGTAGGAAATGGACTTTTAATCAATCCATAAATATTTCACAATTAACATAAGCTGATTTTTACTTGTGAACCTGGTGGCATGCCATCAAGCCAATCTTCTTTTCTATTTTCTCCTTGAAAATGCAGCTAGAAGGTAAAAAGCTTCCCTCTGCATTACAGCATGCTATGACTCTTATAGTCTCTCCTTTTTCGCCAGGGCTAATACGTGGAACACTTTTAGAGCCTTTTTCGGCCAGCTCTAGTGTTCAGCTGTAAACCTGTTTCGTTCGTATTAAATATATGCCCAGGTTTGTCGAAAAGACTGTGTTCAGTCAAAACCTTCTTAAAATCTGCGAAATGGGTTACAAAGATTTCTCTTGACAGTCCAACTGATCGTGCAATCGAAGCGTTCTCAGCTTTTCTGATATAAATAGGTATCAGGCCTTTGGCGAAACAACAACTCCAATCATTTTTTGTCAGCTTTACCTTTTGCTTTTTCTTTTGCAGATTTAATAGCAGGTGTCATTTTTTATCCAGAATTATATTATATTCTTTTAGCATTATAACAAAAGCTAATTGTAAGTCTTCATATTGGGACTATTCTTGATGGGGCATTTCTTCACCTCATGGCATTTTACACAACCACTTTAATACTTTAAATAAAAATGAAACAAAAAATCTTGTTAGAACTTGCTAATTCTCGAGCAGAAGTCAAACTGGGAATATGCTAGTCATTTTGAAGCAAATACTACGTAATAAAAGTAGATACTAAAAGCAGTGTAATAAATACTTCGACGTTAAACAAATACTACTGGAACTGACCAGAAGATTCATGATGAAGCAGAAACTTCGTAGTAATTGTAGCATTAGCATCTACTTCGTTTTTATTAATACCATTCATTGTATCGCAGCTTTAGCCAGTAAATGCTCCTATAAAAGTGAGTAGATACTTCCATTTACTGGTTAAGCCTTTAACTATTTTGAAAATATTTTGAACAATTTTATAAATTTATGAATTGCAAACTATTCCGGCATCATAAAAAGATCTAGGCCAAGAGGCTTCTATACTTGTTAACCATTCATTTGAATTGCATGTGGCGTTTACATTACCCAGAACTTCTTTATACTTATGTGAGTACAATCAATGACACCTACTGCACAGGAAAACTTATATCTTGTTTGCCCCTTTTCTTTGCCCATATGTACCTATATCTGCAGCACTTTGAGGAAATTTAATTTAAGAGCTAGTTTTTTTCGATAATTTTATTCATAACTTGCCTCACAAATTTCGAAACAGAAGATGATGGATTCCCAAATTGAGAACCTAGGTCTGCTACATACCTCAAGAATATTTTGTCAACTTTATATATTGCACCGCTTCTTCATTCAGTAGACTCTTCGCAAAAAAAAATGGTTCAACATTCACTCTATGTTTTCTATTGTAAAACAATATAACACTGTACAGTCATGGTCGCAGGACGTTCTTCTTGGTTAATAATATTTCTTTGCTCGGAGATTCATAAAGTCAGAACTTAACCATCACTTTTTTGCGGTCAAACTGAAACTGACTATCTTTCAAAGAAGAATCCACTTATATTGTACATGAGTATTTACTTCAGAATTATCAGTCAGTATGCCAGTTTTTACTCCAAGCATATGCAATAAAATATTTTCAATTTTTGTTATTGAATACTGGGTGCTAAAGGGTTTCAATATAAATCTAAGATGCCAAAATTCACTTATCTTTTATTATTATATTTTCTATCTATCTAAAGCATCTTCTAATTTCTCACTACTATCTTTTAGATTACTTGTTAAAAAATAACTACTTTTTTATAACTTTGTTTCTAAAAATAAAGTAAGTACGCCCATGTCTATTTCTCTCCAGACACACAGTAAATTAAGTCCAACCGGCGATCTTAAAAGAAAAAACAATGCCGCAAATCAAGGTATTTTAATTTACTTCCGATTTCTGATCCAATAAAATGTAAATATTGCTTACAAATATTCATTGTCTATTTTGTTGATTTAAATAGTCATTTGTAATGGTTACTATACATAATTATCTTCAGCGGCATAGTATTTTTTTGTGAATGACTCTGCACAAAATGTTCCTAATGGAATCACTTTCGATTATATTATCTGCATAATTGTTTTAATGTTGAGTATACTATGGTAAATGATTAATATTATTTTAATACCGTATAAAAAATTTGTTATAGTGCTACTACTACCACTATTACACAGTTAGAATTTGATTACCTACTAAATTGAGTAGTTAAATATGGGTTAATTGGTTTAGGATCATGAGAAGATATAAATGTTTAAATTTAGAAGTTGTTAGTGTATTAGTGAATTATATTTTCATACAGAGTGGGATTGAAATGAACTTCAATATTATATAAGTTTGGAATAAAAATATTTTTAATTCAACAAAAAAAAAAGGAATGTGAAATGTTTCTCACAATATTATCGAACTTCAGAATGTTGTTCTGGTCTAGGTACTCACTTTTAAATAAAAAAACGTGTACACTTTAACCTCAACTCATACTCTTTTGTAAAAAAAAAATATTAAAATAAGTAAATTTATAAAATTCCCTTTCATTGGCAATTGATTTTAATTCTGGAGGATATAATAACGAATAAATCTTAATATTTCTATTTTTTTTAAGTAGATGGATTACTCTACACTTTAACTTACGTTTTTTACGAAAACCTTGCTTTTTTCTTATTTTAATCAATATATTCTTATTCGAAACTTATATGGGGGAAGTGTCCTTAAAAAGGTTTGAGTAGCTATACATAATCGATAAATCAAAAAAAAAAAAAAAAATTCCGCCAAAAACGTACAAACATGTTCTCTAAAGTTTTTCATTATATGTCAAAACAATTTTTAGAAAAAAATGTAAATATCAAAAAATAAAAAAAACTTTACAAAAACATACCACATATTCCTTAGACCAAAATAAATCGATCAGTTGGGCTCCAGAGGGCTTTGAAGTTACAATTTTTAAATCGTTTTTCCCATATAAATTTAAAAAGGCATATGCGATTTTTCTGAAATTTGCTACATTGGTAGAGTTTTATGTGGCAAAAAAAATGGTGTTAAAATTTTGTCCGATAATAATACATAGGCGTAGAACTTGATTTTTTAAATAATTGCACCTTTAAAAATTCTACGCCAATGGAAGAAAAGGAGTTTGAGTATGAAATTTAGATTGCGCAACTCATTTACTTTAAAAAAAGTACTCTTGATAAGACTCGATTACTCTCATGGTTTTGACGAAATTTGCATTTTAGTAATTTTAGAACATGAACAATAATTATTAAAATACAAACTTTGTCAAAACCATGAGAGTAAATCGAGTGTTATCAAGGGTACTTTTTTGTAGTAAATGAGTACCCAATCCAAATTTCATACTCAAACCCCTTTTATGCCATTGGCGTAGAATTTTTAAAGTTGCAATTATTTAAAAAATCAAGTTCTACGCCTATGTATTATTATCGGACAAAATTTTATACGATGAAAAACATAAAAATGTACTTTTTTCATATCTTCTTCAACACCTCTAGTCGAGACTTTTAACAAAAATACTCGATTCTTGCCATGTACGATTTTTTGAGGAATATTAATTATTTGCCTGCAATACGTATACAAAAACATTTATTGTTGGTTCCCATAGTTTCATCTAAATAAAAATATTGTCAAGTTTTAACACCTAATCTCTTGTTAACGATTGAAAGTGTTCTATCTGACTCAATAATTAAAAAAACCAATGCGTGGTTTATTAATATGGCTGTACAATATACCAATGCAGAATATACCGATATGTTACTGACATTAGGATTTTGTGAAGGAACTGCTCGAGATAGTGTCAGGGTGTACTCTGAAAGGTTTCCAAATCGTCGTGTACCTAGCCACCCAACTTTTGCTGCTGTTGAGAGACGTCTTCGGGAGACCGGTTCCTTTGCTCCCAACACTGTTGATAATGGAAGAGAACGTTTTGTAAGAATTCCTGAAGTTGAAGAAGACATTTTAGAACGTGTTGAAGAAGATCCAGAATTAAGCACCAGACGAATTGGAAGGGAACTAGGAGTAAGTAAAGATGTCGTTCATAAAGTGCTTAGAGAACAATTGCTATATCCATACCATAAGAAGCCAGTACAAGAATTATTTGTCCATGATCCTCAAATTCGTTTGGGTTTTTGTCGATTTGTTAATATGCAAAGAGAAAAAGATCCAAACTTTGTCAAGAAGGTTCTCTTTACCGATGAAGCGGGTTTTACAAGAAGAAGTATAACTAATACCCATAATGAACATGCTTATGCCGTTGAAAATCCGCATGCAATAAAGGTAAACTATTTTCAGCATGAATTCAAAATTAATGTGTGGGCTGGAATAATTGGTAATTTCATTGTTGGTCCTGTCATACTTCCACGAAGATTAACTGGAGAAAATTATTTGGATTTTCTACAAAATACGTTGCCAGAACTGTTAGAAGATTTACCCCTCCAACTTCGGAGAGATATGTGGTTGATGCAAGATGGAGCTCCACCACATTTTTCTTTAAACGTTATAAACCACTTGAATGAACAATATCCACACAAATGGATAGGCAGAGGTAATAACGCACCTGTAAACTGGCCACCACGTTCCCCAGACCTAAAACCGACGGATTACTTTTTATGGGGACATATGAAATCCACAGTTTACAGGGAACCTGTAGAAAATGAGGAACAACTCTGGCAACGTATTCAAGATGCAATAAACAATCTTAGAGGTGATGAAGAAGTTATGGAAAGGATACATTTTAATTTTCTTCGACGTATAAATCTTTGTATGCGTGAAAATGGTGAACATTTTAAACAATTTTTGTAAAATCTCTATTTTGATTATGTTGTAAATAAATATTTTTGTGAAACCTATACACTCTAAATTAATGAAACAGAAATTTAGCGAAAACCATGAGAGTAATCGAGTCTTCTCAGGAGTAGTACCTTTTTTAAAGTAAATGAGTTGCGCAATCTAAATTTTATACTCAAATTCCTTTTCTTCCATTGACGTAGAATTTTTATAGGTGCAATTATTTAAAAAATAAAGTTCTACGCCTATGTATTATTATCGGACAAAATTTAAATACCATTTTTTTTGACACATAAAACTTTACCAATATACCAAATTTCAGCAAAATCGCATATGCCGTTTTAAATTTATATGGGAAAAACGATTTAAAAATTGTAACTTCAAGGCCCTCTGGAGCCCAAACGAAGCAACTTTGTACTAAGGTATTTTTACTTAAATCAACTTATTTTGGTCTAAGGAATATGTGGTATGTTTTTGTAAAGACCTTTTACAGATAATCCTTTTTTTTTCATTGTGCAATTGTCCCGTTTTAGGGAGTATTGTGGTTAAAATAGGATACCCTATATTTTTAAAATAGTAGATAGTAATTTGTATGACAATCAAGAAGAAATGCATTAATCGTAGAGAAAGTTTTCCTCGTGTTCCTCTGCTCCATCAGGCATCCATCGCTTGCAACCTACACATCGGATCCAGTATTCTTCATTTTTACTCTCATTAAAATTGTTTTTATAGTAAAAGTATTCAGGGTTACTGTCGTCATCAGATGCGCTAGAATCGACATCATTTTCAATCTTCAATAACTTTTTTTAGTTTTAGTTTCTTCTCTTTATATTTGGACGTTTTTTAATTTCACTCGATCATTTTTGCTCAAATGAATTCTTTTACCAGTTTTTTGCTTTTTGGAATTCTGTTGTAGTTTCTTAGTCACTTTGGGATAAGGTAGAATTATTTCCCGAAAGAAGTACAGGGTGTCGATCCAAACTTCTTTTTGGATTTCCGACGTTGCAGG